CAGCTGGTTTGGCTCAAGAGACCATTTTGGCTCAAGGCCCAAGCCTTGTTGGTTGGCTCCTCCCCCCCCCCCGGTTTTCTGGTTTGGGGCTGCCCCTGGTTCGTTTGGCCTTTTCCTTCTTGGTTGCGCGGCGGGGCGCCACGGATTGCATAGCTGGGAGGCAGGCCCAGTATAAACAAACTGTCCCCTGGAAGCTGTCCAGGTCAACAACAGCTCTGTGTTAAGACCTCCGTGTTGGGAAAAAAAAAACACACACTGGGGGACCGTCCCAGCGTAAACATTCAGGCAGCACCCTTGGGGGGACCGGCCCCGTGACCAACGGTCAACCGCCCTGAATGGCGTCCGATAGCAGCCTTGATGGAGCGGCCACGCCACTCGCGCCGGGACAGCCATCCGCAGTGCTCTCGGTGGCTTCTTCGCCCTCCTCGCCTCGTGGGCTTGGTGTTGGCCAGCCGGCTCCTGTCACCCCCGAGTGGATGTTGCGTGCTGGATCTCAGCCCTGTCCTTCGAATCCTGATGCTGAAGACTGCCCCATTTGCATGTGTGCAGTTCCTAATGCGGCCGCAGGGCCCGAGGTTCCGTGGCCGTCGTGTGGCCATCGTGTCCACCTGGGTTGTGTCGCGCATTTGCGTGTGAACTCTCGCCACATGTCCTGCCCGTTCTGTCGTACTGGTTGGACTTCGGTTGCTGAGGAGCGTTTTGCTTTCCAGTGTTCCGCGCACTCGGTCTCCTTGCCCCAGGCGGCCCCGTCATACAACACTCGTTCTGTCCCTCTCGCTCCCGAGTCTGCGTCACGGCTTTTTGCTGCCAGCATGTAGCCTTAGTCGACAGCTCGCGTGCCGACTCTGACTAGGCGTGGGTGGACTTGCCTTCCCGCCACATGGCATGGATGCCCGTTTTCAACCGAGGTACGGGCAGGTGGGACCCAGAGTGGGTGTGCCTGCGGTGCAACGAGAACTTGACTGGCCATCACCCCCTGCTCCAGAACGTGCCGGTCGTCCCTGTCTGCCCGGTGCACGGGGCCCGTGTGCTTGCTGTTGATGTCGCTTACAGTGAACGGGGTTGGGTGTGTTGTCATGGCCATCCCCCTTTTGTCCTGCCCTGTCAGCCGGTCCCGTTGCCGTTGGGGACGGGCGATGTTGATATGGCCCCGCCCGCGGACCATCGCCAAGGCCAGCCGTGCAGGACCTCAGTTCCCACTCCTGCTGCCGCTGCTTCCGCCTCCGCAGCTCCAGCCCCCACGGTGGGGTCGGTGCGTTTGACACCATGAGCCGCCAAGCGATGCTGCAGGGGCTTCTCCGTGTCGCGGGGCGAACCAGTGCCTCCCCTTTGTGCGCATGTTTTATTCGGAGCCATCCGAATATGTGTGGCATGACGCAGACGGGACTGCACACATCATACAGCAAGCGGAAGGGGGGGAGCAGGGTGATCCCTTGATGCCCGCTCTCTACTCCCTCGGCCAGCACGGTGCCTTGGAAGCAGTGCACGCTCAAATACAGCCAGTGGGCCTTGCTCACCAGGCCGAGTGCGTCTCAACAGTGGCAAGACACGCATTTGGAACTTGTCCGGACGCGTGCCACCCGCCCTCGGCCAGCCAGGTGCGCCGGAGGCCTCCTGTTGGGTTGGTGCCGGCCCTGTCGGATCGGCGGCCTTTGTGCGTTCCCAGCTTCTCCAGTCCCGTGCGGGGCATGACCGGTTGCTGGAGCGTCTGCCGGCACTAGGTGATTTGCAGGCTTCTTGGTTTGCTCCTTCTCTTTTGCTGCAGTCCGCGTTACAACTATTTGCTTCGCATGCTCGCCCCGGCGACCACTGCCGAGTATGCGCAAGACCATGATTCAGCCGTGTTGTCTGCCCTTTCCACCTTGCTTGGCACAGGCGACCTGCCGCGACATGCCCGTGACGTTGCCCAGTTGCCCGTGTCCCTTGGCGGCCTTGGCCTCGCCTCTGCTGTTCGCAATTCCGTGCCGGCTTTTTGGGCTTCCTGGGCTGACTGCTTGGCTGTTTTGAGTCGCCGCTTGCCTCGTGTTGCGCAAGAGTTTCTTGACCACCTCGACAGCCCCGACCCACAGCCAGATTGCTTTGCGGCGGCTGCCGCAGCACGTGCAGCACTCGGCCACTCCGACTGCGTGGCGGGAGCTGTCTGCTGGTGAGAGCGCGCCCGTGGTGCAGGAGGAGGGGCCTTCCACCTTCCTTCGTGGCTGGCAGGGCCAAGCTGCAGCCGCCGAGGCCCGTCGGCATCGTGAGACCTTGCTGGCAGGCGCCGATCCTGCTGCCCAAGCGCTCTTGCACTCCCAGTCCGGGCCTTTCGCTAGCCGTTTCCTCACTACAGTGCCAGTCTCATCAGTTTTGTCCTATCCCTGCCATCTCTTCCGTGTTCTCCTCCTGCGCCGCCTGCGCCTCCCCTTGCCTCTTGCTGAGCGCGCCTGCTGGTGCCGTCGCCTTCTGGACCCCTTCGGCGACCATCGTGCAGCCTGCGCCCGGTCAGGTGTGCTCCGGGGGCGCGGGTGTCCGCTGGAGCGTGCGGCCGCACGCGTTTGCAGAGAAGCTGGAGCCAGAGTCACCTCCAACACACGCCTTGCGGACTTGAACCTTCAAGTTGACCGGGTCGACGATAGGCGGCTGGAGGTCGTGGCCAATGGCCTCCCACTGTGGGGGGGCCAGCAACTTGCAGTGGACACAACCCTTGTCTCGCCCTTGTCAGGCCAGGGCCAGCCCGTTCGGCGCGGGGGTCGAGTCGCTGGTGCTGCCCTCGCCGTGGCGCGCCGTCGCAAAGAGCGGGCCTACCCAGAGCTCGTGCGGGCGCACAGATGCCGGCTGGTCGTGCTTGCAGTCGAGGTTGGCGGGCGGTGGGGTGATGAGGCCGCCTCCTTCATCCGGTCCTTGGCCCGCGCCCGGGCACTTGAAGCGCCAGCTCGGCTGCGCCCCAGTGTTGTCGGCGCTCTTGTTGCCAGGTGGTCGGCCCAGCTGACCCATGCAGCCATGACAGCCTTTGCTTCGTCCCTTTTCAGGCAGGCTGCCGGGCCGGAGCTTTGCAATGCCGGGGGTGGCACCCTGCCTCCCCTCGGCACCTTGCTGGCTGATCTTGCCCACGTGCCACTGGCGGGCGCATCCCGCTTGCCCGGCCGGTGAGCCGCACAGCCGGGAGCCGCCGGTATACAAATGGCTGCCCCCTTAATGCCCCCTAAGCACATCTGGGGGCCGCCGGTATATAAGTGGCCTGCAGGAGCAGACGGAAAAAGGCGCGGGAGAAAAACAAAAACTGACTCGGGAACCACGCTGCCCCCAGCGCACATGCACGTCGCCTTGCGTCGGCTACTCGGGGGTCGTTGGCTTTCGCCGGGGAGCCTTGCTTTGGCTGGCCCGTCCGTGCCCAGCCTTTTGCATTTGCGCAGCTAGCCGCCGCGTCGCTCTGCCTCCCTCGGCGCCTCCTTCGCCTTTCTCGGCGGCCGCGTGCCCAGCCAGGCTGTAGGTGGTCGAGGCCCCGGTGTACTTCACCGCCGGGTTTGGCCCCTTCTTGGCAGGTCTTGTCGGGCGCGGACGGCCCGCTGCTTGGCGTAGCCTTGGGTCGTGTTCGCGGCACGCCTTCGGCTGGCAAGCTTGCTGCTGGAGGAGCATGGCTTCTTTTCCGACGCCCAGCCTGCCAATGGAGTCTAGCGTTCGGAGGGTGCGCGGTCCATAAGGTATGCGCCGGTCCATCAGGCCAGCTGCAGTGTGGAGGAGCTGCGTATAGACTTGGGAGTTTGCAGCTGCGATGGCGCTGCCGCGGTGCCAGTGTTCACTGGTGGGAGCAACCGCATGTGGCCTGGGCGCGGGTGGGGCAGGTTTGCGTGACATCGCCAGGAGGGTGCAGGGTGGCAGCGCTGTTATGGCCGGGCTGTGCGGCCGGTAGAGTTTGTGCAGTCATGTTAAAGCACGAGACAGATCCAACATGTCTGCGGCGCAACTTAATTCGGTGCTGGAGGTCATTTTTTTTGTGTTTGTTTTGATTTGGTTTGCGACTTAATTTCCTTCAAAAAATCCTTCATTGCTCCAGTTAGTAGGCAGTCGGAACGCACAAGCGAGAGGCAACCGGGAAGGTGGAGACTACATTCGACGCGGTTTGCTTCGATGAAATGAGGGCGCATGGCTCAGGGGCGTGCGAACGCGAGGATCACTGGGGAAGTTCCTGGTGTATACGCACGGGATGCGCCTGCGGCAAATCGTGCTTCCGGGCCTGACATTTTAATTGGCTTGGGTAGGCCCTGCTTCGTTCAGTCCTTGACCCCAGTTGGGCGCCTTTGTTGGCAGGATGTTCTTGCTGACACCTTGCCACCGCGCAGCGCGCCAGTGTGCTTTTGTCTTCTGCTGGCCAATTTTGGATCTCAGGTGTGGTTGGCATTTGTACTTGATCAGACGTTTTTATCAAGCCCGAACTGGCACTTATTATTACGCATTTTGCAAGTGCAGAGACATGAAACAAAAACACATGAGAGAGCCTGGGGGTCGACGGCTGGTTTGTTTTTAGGGTGCAACTGAACAAGTTGTGTTCAAAACATTCCAATTTGTGCGGTGCACAAGCAGAAGCTGATTGCAAATCTTCGTTTAGCTGCCTCATGCTATGGCATCCTTTTATGGTGGCGGGGCAGCTCCCTCTCGACCACGGCAGTAGCGGACGAGCTCAGGGCCCCCATCGTTCGATGTTAAACTCAACAAGGACACATGTTTCTCATTCGCTTGTCACGGGTAGGAAGGCAGTACTAAAAAGATCAAGTCTGATTTTTGTCAAGCCGGAGGAGATCGTGGCTCTGGAGGGTGCGGCTGCGATTCTGGATTTCGTGGAGGTCCGGCGTGGGGAGTTTGCAGAGGCTCACCTGGTCACCGCCCTCCACCGGATTGCCAAGAGCCGTGACGGCGCCACCCTTCGGACCAACCCTGTGCTGAGGGATGTGATTGGCTCGCTTCATGAGTGCGTGCGCCACGCGGAAGATGTGAATTCAAGGGCGCAGGCTGGGCAGGTTGCCATGCCTCCACGACACCTTGCCAATACCATTTGGGCGCTGGCTCGGCTGTCTTGCAACGAAGGGCCGCTCATCAAGGACGTGTTTGCATGGGCATGCCACATGATCCGCATGCGTCATGGCTAGTTGCCGTTGTGTTTTGGATGCCACGAGGACATTGGCGCCGCGGCCGTTGCACGCTTGACCGAATTCAAGCCCCAGGAGCTTGCAAGCACTGTGTGGGGTCAGGCTCCGCTGATCAAACATCAACTGCCAGGGGAGTGGAACGTGGCTTGGTTGGGAAGGTGCCAATCACAAGTGTGAAAAAGTTCGCTGATTCACATTCCATGTCCTGAAGTGCTCCTGCAGTGCAATTCGCTTGATTGCAGGCCGCGTCGCGTTCCAGCGGCGCCCCGCCAATTCAGACTACAGCGGCAGAAGCGGCGTGCCGCATGTCAGGAGGGGATGGGTGGGTGTGGCAAAACGGAGACAGAGAGGGTCCTCCTTGCTGTTTTTTACCCGCCTGGGGTCGTTTTGCGTTTCCGATTTCCTTTTTGAGCAGGAACAGACGCCGATGACAAACGTCAAACACAAAAGCTACAACTTGTACAGCCCATGACATCCCCCCCACATCCAACGCAGACTCAAGATGCCCAGACAAGCTTCCTAGGCCCCATTTCATTCCATTCCACCTATTTTTGAGAGTGGGCTAGACCAGGAACTGCATGGAATTGAGCCATCTGCTTTGACCCAAGTAGGTTTGTCTCAAAATGGGTGAGCCGGGGTACGGTTGGCCGAAAGGGAAGCCAAAGGGATGACCTTTTTTCTTTTGGATTTTTATTTTGAGACTTGACAAACCCGAAAACTGACGAATCTTGGATCAATGGGCTATTTAATTAATTCCGCAAATCTGTCCGATTTCAGAGGTTTTCCTTTTTCCTACCCGTCCTTTGGCTCCTTTGGAGGTTTGGTTCATCTGCACAGGAGCCATCTGCGCCAAAGGAAAGTGGATCAACCTGGCAAAGGAGACAAAGAAAGTCCATCCGACTCCTTTCCAACGAAAGCCCCGCGCCCGGCGCCTCGCAGGCCTCGACCCGCAGGGCACCTCGGGCACCGCCTGGGCCTTCACACAGCTCGGCCTCGCCGGCGCGGCCCCGTTCGCCGCCCTTGCCGCGGCGGCCGCGGCGCGGCAGCGGGAGCTAGGCGCGGCGCTCGTGTTTCCGCGCGAGGCGAGACGCGTGCGACGTGGGGGGCCCAGGACGAGCGTGGGAAATGGGGGAAGGGGAAGTCCCCGATTTTATATGCGTGAGTGAGATGGAGTGTCCTCTCAAAGCTTGGTTCAACGAGCGTTCGTCTTCCAATCGAGTTTCCTTCGGTTTCTTTGGTAAGAAGCACATGTTGTTTCCTAAACGTCAGCGGGGGGTGCTTTCGACACAAAGAGGGAAGGCCGGAGAAAAGATGGAAGGCATAGAATCATCTTGTGGTAATTTAAGAAAGAACATCTTGTGAGAGAAAAAAAGTGCCGAGGACTTTCTTGTTTGCTTTGATTTGTGAATGCAGGGGGGGGCTGCTGCCCAGGATGTCGTGGCCATAGCTTGTGTCGTTGACTAACGCTTGTTTGTGAGAATCTGCCGGAGTACGGTGTGATGCGAATCTGAGCAGGGGTGCCATGTTTCTTGCATACTCTTTTCCAGGGTCGAGGCACATGCGGCTCCTCTAGCGCATCCGGGAGCTGAATCTGCGATTCTCGTCGTCTCATTTGTAAAAACCAGAAAGCAACACAACATGCACCACCACTGCCGCCGCCACCGCCACTACAACAACAACAGCAACAACAGCAGCAACAGCAGCAACAAGAAGAAGAAGAAGAAGAAGGCTAGAACAATAGCACTAGCAACAACAAAACAAACAATAACAACAAGAGCAACAAGAGCGAGAGCAAGAACGATAACATTTGCAATAACAGCAACAAACAACAACACAGAACAACAAACAACAACCAACATCAGCAAACAAAAAACACAACTATCAACAAACAACGACAGGATACGACGGGTAACAACATACAAAACCAGACAACAAGAAACACCGACAATAAAGGACACATAACATGAAACAACAGCAGCAACAACCGAAGGAGCAAGAGCAGCAGCAGCAACAGCAATAGCAACAGCAGCAACAACAACAGCAACAGCAACAGCAGCAGCAGCAGGACCAGCAGCAACAGCAACAGCAACAGCAGCAGCAACAACAGCAGCAGCAGCAGCAGCAACAGCAGCAGCAGCAGCAGCAGCAGCAGCAGCAGCAGCAGCAGCAGCAGCAGCAGCAGCAGCAGCAGCAGCAGCAGCAGCAGCAGCAGCAGCAGCAGCAGCAGCAGCAGCAGCAGCAGCAGCAGCAGCAGCAGCAGCAGCAGCAGCAGCAGCAGCAGCAGCAGCAGCAGCAGCAGCAGCAGCACAGCAGCAGCAGCAGTGCAGCAGCAGCAGCAGCAGCAGCAGCAGCAGCAGCAGCAGCAGCAGCAGCAACAGCAGCAGCAGCAACAACAACAAGCACAACAACAACAACAACAACAACAACAACAACAACAACAACAACAACAACAACAACAACAACAACAACAACAACAACAACAACAGCAGCAGC